CAACTAAAAATAAATTCCAGCTAGAAAAACTTCAAAAAGTATATTTTGTGTTGGAGAGAAATGTTTTGTAGTCTAGTCTGAGTTTGTACACTAGGGATACGCTTCTTGTGGAGTCCTAGTCTCTGGCTGTAATTTTCTGTCTCGACCTAAACAGTTCAGTAGAAGAGAAGTGTACCAAGAGGAGGTGAGGGCTCCTCGGGCTGAGGCTTTTTTGAGCTTTGTGTCTATAGGTAGGTGTTTAAAGTCTCTCAAAGCAGCAGAAGGAAAATAACATTCTGTTGAGAGAAGGTGAATTACTATTTATTTTTAAATAGTCTGGATATTTCTGGCTGCATGTTGGGTGTTTGCATGATGTTTAGATGTGGTATTATTTTGAGTTCTTCTCTCATCCTTTTCCTTCTTGTGAAGTTTTTTCTGTTTGCATATTTGCAAGTCTTACGTAGTTTATACCCTTTTGATGAAGACAGAGTGAGCAATTTATTTTGAGGACACAAACAGGATTTTTGTTGTTCTTTTTGCCACTCATGCCAATCTGTCTCCTGTTGCCAAATGCACACTAAACAGGTCGTTCCAGCAGAAATCATTACATTAACAAGCAAAGAACAAAGCCACACTTGTGGCATTATGTGTTTATAGAATCACAGAATCATTAAGGTTGCAAAAGTCCCTTAAGATCATCAAGTCCAACCGTTAACCTAACACTGCCAAATCCACCACTAAACCATGTCCCTAAGCACCTTGTCTACTCATCTTTTTAATACATCCAGGGATGGGGACACAACCACTTCCTTGGACAGCCTGTTCCAGTGCTCGACAACCCTTTCAGTGAAGAAATTTTTCCTAATATCCAATCTAAACCTCCCCTGGAGCAACTTGAGGTGATTTCCTCATCCTATCGCTTGTTACTTGGGAGAAGAGACAGACACCCACCTCGCTACACCCTCCTTTCAGGTAGTCGTAGAGGGCGATAAGGTCTCCCCTCAGCCTCCTTTTTTCCAGGCTGAACAACCCCAGTTCCCTCAGCTGCTCATCAGAAGACTTGTGCTCCAGACCCCCTCACCAGCTTCGTTGCTCTCCTCTAGACATGCTCCAGCACCTCGGTGCCTTTCTTGAAGTGAGGGGCCCAAAACTGAACACAGTATTCGAGGTGCGGCCTTGCTAGTGCCAAGTACAGGGGGATGATCACTTCCCTAGTCCTGCTGGCCACCCTATTTCTGATACAAGCCAGGATGCTGTTGGCCACCTTGGCCACCTGGGCACACTGTTGGCTCATATAGAGCCAGCTGCTGACCAACACCCCCAGGTCCTGCTCCACCAGGCAGCTTTCCAGCTATTCATCCCCAAGCCTGTAGCATTGCATGGGGTTGTTGTGACCCAAGCGCAGGACCCGGCACTTGGCCTTGCTGAACCTCATACAGTTGGCCGTGGCCCATCGATCCAGCCTGTCCTGATCCCTTTCCAGAGCCTTCCTACCCTCGAGTAGATCGACACTCCCGCCCCATTTGGTGTCATCTGCAAACTTAGTGAGGGTGCACTCAATCCCAATACTGAGCCCTGGGGAATAGCACTGACCAACTGGATTTAACTCCATTCACCACCACCCTTTGGGCCTGGCCATCCAGCCAGTTTTTTACCCAGTGAAAAGTAGGCTTGTCCAAGCCATGAACAGCCAGTTTCTCCAGGAGAATGCTGTGGGAAAAGGTGTCAAAGGCTTTACTAAAGTCTAGGTAGACAACATCACACACACAAAATGTCTTTCTGAGCACTTTTATCACTTCCTTACCTATTCTGCCTTGCTCAGAAGTGGTGTGTAAGTGAGTACAACAGGCTGCTATGCTTCATCTGATCTAACTGTAGTGGAGGGTGGGTGCCTCCTTTTTTGGCAGCGGCTTCACACTTATATTGGATTAAGTGTAATGTGAAACCATAGCTGAAATAATTGGTTTTATGCTTCTAGAGGTTTTCATGGGGACATAAGAGGTTATTAAGATGCATATACTCCTTCACAAGGAAACAGTTTTCAGTTGTTGCCTGTGTTTTGAAATGTGTATGTTTTTTCTTTGCTGGCCCACCTTTGAAACTGGTCATCTTTACACAGATCTGGAGCAAAGGCTGCTTAAAAGCTTAGCTTTTGTTTCCTAACCTTGATGCCTCATCCCAATGTGTTGTAGCTACAGAATAGCTTGTTTCTTGCTCAGGACTCACTCTGTTCGCCCTCAGGCATTGAAGTAGAAGCCTGTGGAGCACATGCCTATCCATGCAAAAGAACAGTAGTTGCTGCAGAAACCTAAAGGATGCTGCAGTCACAAAAGGGTGCCTTCATTTACTAGCACTTATAAATTGAATTGGTGATGCTTACACTCTGTAGCTGCTCAGGGTTTTAATAAAAAATGGGTATTTCATAAGGAGCAGGCCTGGTTTTGTGGCACCGGTGAGCTCAAACCAAGCAGGAGGAAGTACAGCAAACATCAACAGAGGTGTGAGAGAAGAAGCATGTCAGATACATCTGACCGTGCAGCAACAAGTCTCCGCAGCCTCCCTGGGGAAACAGCAGAAGTTCGTAGCCTGAAGTGATCGTAGCCTGAAGTTGAGCGGAGGGAAGATCTGGCAGGTTTCACTGCCCTGGCTGAAACGAAGGGCCCCTGCGGGAGCATGGTGGGTAGTGAAGAGCCAGTGATGCTGCCAGGCTAGGCCGTGTGCCCTGCGGGAAGCGGGCAAGCAAGACAAGTGGGGAATTGTACTGGGGAAGGACGGCTAGTATCGAGTATATTTTCAAAGACAGACCGAACAAAAACTACTTTCAATTCACTAATTCATTTCATGTCTGTGCTGAACTTACAAGTCATTCCCTAATCCTCTTTCAATGCTCTAGGGACCGATAATAGGAATGCTGCAAACAGCCCTGGCTGATCCTTGCTGCAAAGGGTTAATTTTGAACCATGAAACAGACTTAACCTTTGCTTTTTGGGGTGATGGTGGTTGTGGAGTCCTCCCTGCTGCTTATCTTTGATCACATGAGATTTGAGCAGGTAGTTTCAGAGATGTGGTGCATGGATAGTGTTATGTTTTTAACAGCCCAGCTGAGGAAGCATAACGATGGGGAAAAATTGCTGTGCAGATGAGAGCAGCAGACAGGGTTGCTTGCTAACCTTTATAGTCTGATTTTTGGCTAGAGAGCATACTTTTTGTGCAGAACAGAAGCCAACACAAAGCTTTTTTTTCTCTGGCCACATGTGTGGTTTTGGTGATAGAAATTTGGTCGGTTGAAATTAAAATCCCATTCATCCTGTGTGGGGGGAGTCCTATTCCTCCAAGCAGACGGGCTTTGCAAAGCAATCTGAGTAATTTTGGGGATATACAGGCAGATCTAGACAAGACCTTCATTTTGGAAAGACAATTGTTAATAAATACGAGGAAATGTATGTGTTCAATAGTCTTTTAGTTCCAGTTCACAAATTATAAGCACCATGATAAAAAAAAATTATCAATACCAGGTTATATTTGCCATTAATGAGATGCAAATAAGCAGTAGGAATAGCTGGTGTTTTCTGTTATTTGGGGAGGTGGTTGCATAGGGAGTACATGGAAAATTTTATGCAGAGTTTAGGGAGAAAATTGCTGATTGTTACTTTTGTTCTCTGTTGACATTAGGGGACGTGTGCATGCATATACAAACACTGCTGGGATTTTCAATTTTTCCTTTTCTATTTTAGCCACAAAATTGCGGAAGTTTAAAATACAGTAACAAGCTTCTTCTTACCCAACTATTTAAGTTTAATATCCATGAAAAAGAAGAGGTTTGCCAATTACGTGTTTCATCCACACTGAACGATAACTGTGCTTTCCTTAAGTCATAACAGTCAAGCCTGCTGCGGAGTGACAAGACCTGGCTTTTCCTTGGGTGTTATTTGATACATGTTTCAGTTTGACATTATGTAAATACTCTGCTATTAGGGAAGAAAATGACATAAAATTGCATCCTTTCTCAATGAGGTTTTAAGTTCTTTCAGTAGCTTCTCTCCTTTTTGAAGCTGTAATAAAGATCATAATTAGAATCCCAGTTGCTTAAGTGAGAAATTAGCATGTTCTTAAATGCTGAGCCGAGACAGGTTCCCAGTGAGACCCCCTCCGGGTATCTGTCCTGCCCCAAAGCGCTTTCCCTAATACCAATTTGCGTTCTAGACGTATTAAAGAAAATGATATTCATTGCCACCTAGCAGTTAATCAGAGCCTTCAGATAGGCTTGAAATAATTCGCAGCCTGACTGCCAAAACCACCTGCACCCGTTCATTTCGTACATCTGTACCCGGGCACGCTCTAAAACTTCTTAGAGATTGGCAGTCCATCGCCCAGTACCAGGACTGAGACAAACTCACTCCTTGCGTGTCCTTCATTCTTACAAACTTGTCACAAATACTACTTAACCCCAACCCCAGGCCTCCTTGCTTGCTGTCTTCTAGGCTGTGGCCAAGGGAACAAAAATCTAATGACTGAGCATTAGCATAGATACCTTATCTATTAGTACATACTTTACCATGTAAATAAGATTTTCACAGATTGGAATAAATTAAAAACTTAATAGGGCTAAAATAAACCTCATTTGTAAATTAATTAAAAACAAGAAGCAAGGAACACTAACACTTAAAAAAAAAAAAAAGACATTTTCATGGTGCAAAATACAGATCTAATTTCCAAATACATGAATGGTAAACTGTAATTGTATGATATGCAAGAAAATACTCAGAACATATGAAACAGTAGTCACAGATTTTGTAGTCAAGATGTTCCCTTTCTGGTTTTCCAAATTGTTGCAGAAGATACCAAAGGGTAAAGCAAATAAAATACTGTCTTTGCAATTGACCCAGGTAGGGATATGATACTGGTGGGAGGTGGATTCAGATGGTGGTGGTGGTGTTTTGTTTTGTGGTGAATTTTTATGTTCTGACATCTCTCCTGCAAGTTCTGCCTAACATGCTTCTGATATGCTCTTGTTTCCACAGGCCAAGGCTGCAAGCACAAAGGAAGTTTGCTCAGTCCCAGCCAAACAGTCCCAGCACAACTCCAATAAAGATAGTGGAGCCGTTGTTACCCCCTCCCGCCACTCAGATTTCTGACCTCTCCAAAAGGAAGCCCAAGACAGAAGATTTTCTCACTTTCCTCTGTCTTAGAGGTAGGAGTCGCGCAGCAGCCTAGGGGGACAGTCTCATTCAAAGAACGAGCTGTAGCACGACACACTGAGTAGCAGCTAGACAAATGTACTGGTGCTACACTTGAATATATTGTGTGCATTTCAACTCTCAGCAATTTGACTGTATCTGCAGCAGGAGCATTCGAGTTCATGGTTGTAAAGACCATAAAATGAGGCCGGTAATAGTGCAAAAGGAAATTTCTTTTATGCTTAGCACTCTGTTATCCTGAATGGGTTTTTGTCTCGCTCTCTTAAGTCCTCCCCATCCTCCTTTGTTTTGTCTGACTATAAACTGAAGAAGTGCTTAACTTGCCTGAGTACTTGTTCCTGCAAGAGGAGAAATCTGGTTGGAAATTCCCCTTCTCTACCTACTCAATGTCCTTTTATTGTTCAATCTGAGTGAGGCTTTTCATCTGACAGTGGGTGGAGGGGTTGCCAGTGTTCTTAGCTGCCCCAGGAACCGGATTGTTCCCATGGTGATAATTAAAACAGGTGAGCTCCTCCACTCTGCAATCCAAATGCAGACGAGGCATCTGAAGTTGTACAGTGACATACCCGAATTATCTCACAGTCACAGCTGCCTGAGCCTGGCTAGAGCTGTATGGCGTGTGTCTGGGATCGCTGCTGTGTGTCTGTGAGCCTGCATGTCAGACTTGGGGACCTAAAGAAGGAGAACCTTACCTGAGTGGTCATTTTTCTTGGGCCTTCCCATGGCCCCGTGTCCCAAGTCATGTGGTGAAGATAGCATTTTCCAGTTTAATCTCCCACTTGTCGTATTTGCTCTCATGGTAATGTTTCTCTTTTGGCAGATGCCCACCACCACCCCCCGGCCTCTTAGCTAGTCACTGCTCCATCCTTGATGTGCTGGAACAATGTCCCTTGCTGTTGTTCTGTCCCATTACCTGCTGAAAGGGTGTGTGTTTGTTACAGGTAGGGCTTGTCAGCAGAAGTCTTACCTAGTGGATTGAATCCTTCAAAACTTGTGTTTGAGTTCCCCTCTCTGGTTCTGAGGTCTCTGTTGCATCTGCGAGCAGCACTGGTCAACACCACCCATAGCTTCCTGCTGCAGCTTTCTCACCTTCATGCAGCATGGTTTGATTTGTTTTTTTTCTTCTCTTCTGTGAGATTTTAGGCTAGTGGTAGCTTTAGACTGGTTGCTAATTTATCTGTCCTGACTCTGATCCAATATGGAGCCTCCATCCTGTTGGGAGTTCTGGTAAAGCAGGTGGGTGGAGGGGATAGAGGGGGGTGGTTTGCTAGCTTTTGTGTTTGTTTAAAGGATTGCGAGGAGCAGAATCTAATGGAGTTTAAAGTGGCATCACAGTCCTCTGAAATTTAATCTGTGGAAATGTATTTCTAATTTAGTCTGCTGTGAGGTTGATCAGTCTGTTGGCAGCGTGTCACTGCTGTGATCTGGGCCAACTGCCACAGTTGTTGGTGGGAAAATTCAGATGGTGTGGGTGTGTGTGTGTATGTGTGTGAGCACACATGGCTGCATTCACACACTTGTTTCCACTGCTTGCTAACTAAGCATGTGTTATTTATAGCTTTGAAGGCACTTGCACTTAAAGAAAGGCAACCTGTGTGGGGATGTGCCTTATCTCCATTTTTATTTCCTACTGTCTCTCAGCATTCTGCTTTAACAATGCAGATGGGAAGCATGGGTACTTTTGTCCTATTCCAGTGCTTCATTCAGAAGGTTTGTTGGGGTTTTTTTTATTTTAATCAGTGGCTGTTTAGCTCTTGCACCTGTAATTTTCTTCTTTGTTATTCATCTGTAGAATAATTGATGTTTTGTATTGTCAATTAAGAACTTGCAATTCATTCCTAATTTCTTCAGCATGCAGGAGTACTCATATATTTCAGACAACAAGTGCATTCAGACGGCAAGATCCCAATTACAATTATATCAAAAACCGCAAGGGAAAATCTGCTCTGAGTACCACACATGGCATGTTCTTGGTCTGCTTAAACGGGCTGAAGAAAAGCAGAAAGGGGAAGCTGTCAGCCTGCTGTTTCAGCACCTCCACGAGCTTATTGCTCCATCACCCCTGTATTCCATCACCCCTGTATACAGCCTGAAAAGAGCCAGTAAGAACAGGGGAGAAAATCTTCTTGGACATCTGCTACTTGGATGCATTTCTGTGGAGGAACAGGAGAGCGGCTCTGGCTTGGAGGGGGAAGGAGTGGGGCTGCTGAGATCGGTATTAACATGGCTCTGGCTTCAGCGTCTGAACTGCTGTGTCCTTCAGGAGGTCCTGGCTGCCTGAGATAGTGCTCGTTTGGTCCCTTGGGACGTTTAGCTCCAGGTGGTTGTCTCTTTTGATGTGTCCACTGGAAAAAACAAGGTAGAAGCTGGTTATTAATATGCTTGCAGGGAGTTCATGTAGCGGCCCACTGGTATGTCCAGCTGCAGAAAGGTCCCACAAGTGGTCTTCTAGGGCACTGGCAGGCTTAGTTTGGTGCTGCTCTTCTGGTGGTACCCAGTGAGCTTGGAGAGGGAAGAGCCAGCAGCTTACTTTAACCCTGCATAGGGAAGTGTCGTGATTTTTTTGGAAGGAGTTTGTTTTGGTTTTGAACCTGTGTGCTATTATTTATTGAAGTGTTGAGGGATTTAAAATTGCTTGCATGGTGGGACATGTGGTTGTTCTGACTTCTGTCCAGATATGTCTGTCCAGCCCTAGCTGTTTGCACTTTCATGATGAAATGCGATGTCTGATTACATGGAAATAAGAGCATGCTCACAGGGTGAAAGTTCAGCGCTTTGAAATCTTTTTAGTAATAAGTGTAGTAGTGATAAGATCCAGGACAGTAAATCCCTATGTTTGTGTAATTTTTTTTTTTTTTTTTAAGTTGGGACACTCTTAGGTCCTAGTAGTTCAAAATGCTCTGATGATATAGTCCCTGTGTTCATGATCAAAGCTTTTCTTCAGTGAGGAAGTCTTTTCCAGGACTGGTGGAAAAACAGCTCTGTGGTCACGTCTCTGTCCTTGTCCCACCACACCCAGCAGTAGTGTCAGAAGCACAGTCTAAATTGTTGCACCATGTCAGCAAGTAGTTTCATCTTCTGTGTTTAAACAGAGAAATTAAAAATCCCATTACCACTACAAGTTCACTCTTCAGTACTCTGGGTTGTTTTAAGCGGCAGCAGCTGAATTCTGAGCATGATGGAGCAGTACTATCATGCAACAGTGTGGAAGAAAGGCCCGTGACGTGCATAGGGCCCCATACTTAAAAAAAAAAAGTCCCATTTACATGGCCTTCTGCTATGTGTCAGAAAATCTAATGATTAAATCGCTTTTATTTACTTGTTTTGTTGTTGGGTTGTTTTTTTTTTTAGCATCCTGTAATTTCAAAGAGAGATAATTTAACCAAGATGACCTCCTTGGTTTCATTTTCCAAAATACTAGGGGCCTTAGACGTATTTTTAATTAGTTTGGTTTTTGAACTCTTGATTGGATAATACAGTGTACTAATTGCTTCTTAAAAGGTAAGCAGAGAAGAATAAAAAAGCTGTAACTGTTGATGAATATCTGAGCACCCTGGAATACATCTAACTGACCAGACTTGGCAAGGCTCCCCTGCTTTTTATTATTTTAGAACCCTTCTTTTTCTTTTTTTTTTTTTTTTTTTTTTTTTTTTTTTATTACATTGTGACCTAGAATTTCCAACACAAGAAGGAAGGGAATAGCACAGATATCTCTGAAGTGTTTGTCTGCAACATTCTTATCTTTAAATAGCTTCTTTGAAGGAGCCCATATGCCCTTTGCCAGAGGCATAATTAGTATCTTTCAGCAGCGTGCATAGATACGAGTGTGTCATCTCCATGTGGTTGTACAATGGCTTTCACTTTTACTGTATTTTCTGCCTCTGATAAAATTTTTCTTAATAGCTTCTGTTACAGTGCATTTAAGTTACCTTTACCCTCCGTAATTATTTACAGGTTAAAAATATTGCTAGTGGAATAATACAGGGCTAAAGGGGGAAGGAGAAACCACTCCCCGTGAGCAATAGATCTTTGGCAAAAGGTGATAACAGGAAGGCTATGATTAGGAGCCTACATTTTAAGAAGTTTTCCCATGATCAATTTTCTAATTAAGCTGGACCTCTGGGAGTTACATGCTAGAGAATTTCAGGGATTCCTAAATAAAGATGGTTTAATTGAGATCTCACAAATTGAGTTTTCAGGCTCTTCTAACAACTCTTCGGCAAAACGCATGACTGTTCGTTTTCTTTGAGTACTGCAATGACTTACTGATCTGATGATTCATTAAAATTGGGCAAAACCAAAATGGAAAAATCTCACTATAGCACACTTGTCCAAACTTCAGTAACTTCTAAATCTCAGTGCCCTGGTCCTCTTGCAGTTTGCTCTTAAACAGGCTTTTTATTTTTTTAAACACCTTGTTTGGGTAGTAGGCACAGGGGCCTTTGATCCCAATTTTCTCTCTGAAGTCTTAATAGGAGGGGTTGCTTGTGCTGGTAGATACCTGCAGGGGTTTTCCATTACAATGGGAGAGTCCCCAAAATAAAAAACTTGCAAGCTCTTAATTTTGGGCATGTTAGAAAACAACTGTTAATTTGCCTAGCTTTTAACGAGGCGGAAGGTACGCTTGCCTGGTAGTTCAATATCCATAGGTACACTGGACTTTGAGAGCCGGTGACTGCATCAGTCACATTCTTGACACACCAGCCTTCCAAGGGAGCATGTTGCCACCACGGACACATGCTCACCAGATCAGAGTAAGCACATTAAACAGCATAGCAACTTGATTAGGCTGGAAGCAAAGCAATGAAATGCTGTCACTGGCCAAAACTCTGAGCTGCTTTGCAGTCTGGCTTAGTTTTTATAATTCCAAAATAATATTAAAACATGCAGATGTACAATAATTTGTTTAAAATACTGGAAGAAGACTTTTTATTGATTTTGTCGTTAAACCAGTTGGTATTTGAGACTAAAATCTCAATGGGTTGGATTGAAA